GTCCAGCTGGTAGATGAAGTTACTTAGACCACTTCCGGATTACCCAACTGGGAAAGGCGTCGGGCGGAGTAGAGCTCCAACTCCTCCACATATCACTGTCTTCTCACCAACAACTAAATGGATTTATACTCTATCTACATTGAACGGACTCAGTCTGCTCGAACAACATTGACGAACGCCTTTACATAATCTCTGGCAAACGGGAGTCATTGGACTAACATTCTCTTTACGCTACCATTCGACGATGGCTTGATCCCCTGCGATTGGATAGCTCGATACTATGAGTTTACTGTGACGCTGGGAGTAAGCTGGCGATGGGCTTCAGGTGAATGATTGACATGCAGCCAAGACTACTTGCGAATCTTCGCTTCGACTTCAGCAAGCAACCAGATACAGACTCCCATCGTCATTGGATTTGATGGCATACGTGAAATCGAATTCGCCTCACAACATGCTGTCGAAGGTCGTCAATGAAGATGGAAGAGGAATTGGGCCCATTCAAGAATGAGTCAACGCCTCAGTCTTTGCTTACGGTTAGAGACTCAAGTCAAGTCTGCAGGCCTCACTCTACAACTTTCCGTCTGGGCACAGATGTGAACTACAACAGCGTGTTACCATTGCTTTCGGACTTGTCAAGATGGTGACTGACTCGAAGCTCAGTCGCATCTTTTCTGAATCATGTTTTAATGCTGCATAGTAACCAGGAACAATATACGGGGCTTTTCTTGAGTTTACGAAACGATCCTGCGTTCTTCGGCCTCAGGTCTATCGCAAGATAACTTACTTGTGCCCGTCATGACTCTCCGGCCACCTCGTCTTTCATAGATACAGTTACTGCGACTACGGAGAATTAGCCCAAGGTTTTCAGTCGGCCCGCCCAAGATTTGGAGCGTCCTCTGTCTGCAGTCTATGGGATCAAAGCCTTGATCAATCACGGATAGCAATTACCGTCGATTTACTTGGGCTTCCATCGACTTGCCTTTTGTAAGTTATGATCCACTCCTTGGTGATCATGAAGATAGAAATGCAGTCGGAGTGAGTGGAATAGTTGGAGTAGTGTAAATAATACTTGGGCCTTGTAGCTGACACTCAAGCGTCATTTGCTGCACATCTGGTAGACCCCAGATACTCAGTGTTTGCAAGGAACACCAGTGTGAACCTGACGACTAACAATCTGCATACTTTCCGCTTCCCCCACTCGAACATCGTCCTTCCCCCCACTACCTCAATTAGGCTATTCTCCAACAACCTTCCCTCTGGTAACCTTTGATTCAGGTTCTAGTCCAATGGATGAATAATGTGATTGCACGGCGCGTTTCCGCTTCTTTGGCTCCAAAGAATCATGTTGGTTGCCAGGTGGTCTCCCCCACCTCCACCTCCGCCTCCACAGGACTTTTTCCGAGGACATAAGCGATCAATTGCAGCCATATATCGCGCCCGCAAGGCCCTCTTGCAGCATGAACATGATGACAGGCCCATGGACAGCTACGTTGGAGATGATGTGGACCTCGCGTTCCACATTTACGGATGATGCACTGGCCAATCTGGATTTCTGACCGAAGATGCAGTGCAGTGACTAGCTTTCCATATGAGTGAGCTGTACCCCGAAATAAACGTATTACTTCTGGGCTCACTCATACTCTTATCTTTCTGAAGAGAATAACGAATAACGGACGTTATTATCACCGTGTGATTACTAGCCCACTTTGTCCATTATGCTTTACGCTGAAGACGATAAGCTCATCTACCGATTTGATGACCACATTCTTTGGATCCAGCCATGGAGCGAGAATGCTTTTCGTATCAGAGCTACGAAGCTAGCGTCTATGCCATCTGAAGATTGGGCCCTATCTGCAAAGCCGAGCACACAGCAGGCGATCATTGAAACCCCCGCCGGCAAAGAGGCCAGCATTTCCAATGGCAAAATTAAGGCGGTTGTCTCCCAGCGAGGCAAGATCACAATCTGCAACTCCAACGGTAAAAAGCTCCTAGAAGAGTATGCCCGTCATCGCCGTGATCCAATGGACCCGAAATGCAGCGCGCTCGAGATTGAAGCGCGCGAGCTCCGACCAATTCTGGGAGGCGATTACCATCTCACGATGCGATTGGAGTCGCTAGACCCGAAGGAGAAGATCTACGGTATGGGCCAGTATCAGCAGCCTTACCTAAATCTCAAGGGAGTCGACTTGGAGTTGGGACACCGGAATTCCCAAGCTAGTGTTCCGTTTGCTCTGTCCTCCCTTGGCTATGGTCTTTTGTGGAACAATCCCGGGATCGGACGAGCCGTGCTCGGGACAAATATCATGAGCTTTGAGGCATATTCGACGAAGGTTCTCGACTACTGGATCGTTGCGGGTGATACACCGGCGAAGATCGAAGAAGCATATTGCAAAGTGACGGGCTATGTCCCGATGATGCCAGAGTATGGTCTTGGATTCTGGCAGTGCAAGCTCCGCTATTGGAACCAGGAGCAGTTGCTCAACGTCGCGCGAGAGTACAAACGACGCAATATTCCTTTGGATGTTATTGTAGTTGACTTCTTCCACTGGAAGCACCAAGGAGAGTGGAGTTTTGATCCCAAATTCTGGCCGGACCCAGGTGAGTCTACTCCAGCCGCATGATACGCATCTGTAGTTGCTGATAGGGCTGCGACCCCAGACGCAATGGTCAAAGAACTCAAAGAAATGAAGGTGGAGCTCATGGTCTCCATCTGGCCTACAGTCGAAACCCTCTCCGAAAATTACCCGGAAATGCTCGAACGCGGTCTGCTGATCAGGCATGACCGCGGCCTTCGAGTAGCTATGCAATGTGATGGCGATGTCACACATTTCGACGCGACGAACCCCGAGGCTCGCAAATATATCTGGGAAAAGGCGAAGAAAAACTACTACGACAAAGGGATCAAGATCTTCTGGCTTGACGAAGCCGAGCCTGAATACTCGGTCTACGACTTTGACATTTACCGCTACCAGGCTGGCAGCAACCTACAGATCGGCAACATCTTTCCCCGGGAATACGCGCGGGCCTTCTACGAAGGCATGGAGGCTGAGGGACAGAAGAACATCGTGAACCTTCTCCGGTGCGCCTGGGCCGGCAGCCAAAAGTACGGTGCTCTCGTCTGGAGCGGCGACATCGCGTCGTCGTGGGGTTCCTTCCGCAACCAGCTGGCCGCGGGCCTGAACATGGGCCTCGCAGGAATCCCGTGGTGGACGACGGATATCGGGGGCTTCCACGGGGGCAACCCTGCTGATCCTGGGTTCCGGGAACTCTTCACCCGCTGGTTCCAATGGGGTACGTTCTGTCCCGTGATGCGCCTGCACGGTGACCGGGAGCCCAAGCCTGAAGGCCAGCCGACTGCTCCGGGCGCCGACAATGAGATCTGGTCCTATGGCGAGGAGGTGTATGAGATCTGCAAGAAATACATCGACATCCGGGAGGAGCTGCGGGACTACACCAGAAGTCTGATGAAAGAGGCACATGAGAAGGGCACGCCGGTCATTCGGACCCTATTCTATGAGTTCCCAGAGGACAAGAAGTCTTGGGAGGTCGAGACGCAGTATCTGTTTGGGTCCAAGTATCTGATTGCGCCAGTCCTTGAGGCTGGTCAGCGAAAGATCACGGTGTATCTGCCCGCAGGAGCTTCATGGAGGCTATGGGGGGAGGAAACGGAGCGCCCTGGAGGGCAAGATGTTGAGGTTGCATGTCCCATTGAGACGATGCCGGTCTTTGTCAGAGTATAGGCAGTAACATATACCAGCCATTGGGGCATCTATCACCACGCTGCCCGGGGCGGGGTTAAAGCAGAGCACAGACAGGTCCAGGCAACAGTCACATATATGGAACACTCCTACGCTAATAAAGTACTGGATTGAAGCATAGATGAGCATTATAAGACAATACTGTAACCATTCATAAGGCCGAATTTCAGGATTCCGCGGGATGCGCCAACAAGCTGCTGGCAAATGTATTGTCGTCACATTGCCACTACAGGTAATAAGCACTAAGCAGGCCAACGTAGTTAATATAACTAGCTACTTAAGCGGGGCTATGGTCTGATGCGGCGATGCCTGCATGGGCGATACAACTCTACTGAGGATGGGGTGAAGGGAATGGAGGGGGTGTAGAGCACTATGATCTTGTGGTCGACCTGACAGCCATTGTGGGAGAATTCTTGTTTATTATATCTACTGAATGAGTGAAGAAGGCTGATCATAGAGTAAGAACCTCCCCACTAGCAGACACACTCTTCATATTCATGTCCATGGCCATCTGAACACACTCCAAACGCTTGCCCACCATCACCGGCTCTGGCACAGCCACATACGTCCCCTTGGCCAGAGCAGCCGGCAGATAAGCTGCCTGGTTGCCTGGCATAGCGGGGGGTTTGAGGCGAGATTGATACGGGAGATCAAAAACAGTCACTCAATTCGATAAACACAGTCAAGTTTGGCTGCCATCCGGCGTCTGAGGTCGATGTGGCATGAGAGAGCCATGACCTGCGGCGCTCATCAGATTTGGACTTCGAGATTGCATTGAGTCAAGGATAATTATCCCTTGTTTTGGCCCCTCCATTGTTTGTCTTTCTTTTGTCAATTGCCTAGTCAACCGGACTCTCTTCGGAGTTTGGAGTTTGGAGTTTGAGACTCCGAGACTAATGCATCAATACTTCGACTCCGCAATCACTTCCAGCTGTATGATTTCCTCAGTTGGGTCGCGGGCGTCCGTATATCTTGATTCTAGGGGGGACACCGCGTCAGCAAGCCATCGTCCTTCCTTCAACCATGCCCTGGTCACCGATTTACCCCGCTGAAAGAGAATCCAGGAGACGCTTGTGACATGAATGGTCTGTTTTGGTCGCGTCCGCTTTGAATGGTTCCCATGAAGTTGTCACTGCACCAGCGCAGCTATCATCTATAGCCTTGAGCTAGGGAAATTATCTACCGCGTAACTGGGCTCTTGCTCACACAACTCTTTACTTTAGATATCACACCAGCAGCAGAATGGTCTCTCTCGGAGCGATCCTGGCCTCCAACCGACGGCTTGAGTCAGCCCTCCCTGCCGGCCTGGTGGCCGTCTTTGGTGGTGCAACGAGCGGCATCGACGAGACAGCAACGAAGCAATTTGCCAAACATGCCAACGCGCCACGCATCTACTTCGTCGGCCGCACAGACAGCTGGGCGGAACGCATCAAAACGGAACTCAAGACCATCAACCCGAAGGGCAGCTACTTCTCCCTGCAATGCGACGCCAGTCTGCTCAAGAGCGTCGACGAGGTTTGTCAGGAGATTAAGGCCAAAGAAACGGTGATCGGTCTGCTCTTTTTGAGTATCGGCAGTCTCATCACTGGGACAAGTGAGCGTCCCCCACGCAACAATCAGAGTGATTTCAGATCAGTCTCTTACTTGGTGGCTACCGTGTAGGTACCGTGGAAAACCTGCATTACTTCGCTGCACTGACGTACTACTCCCGCATCCGGTTCGCCATGAACCTCCTCCCGCTCATCCGCACTACTCCTGCGCTGCGCCGGGTCGTGACCGTGTTTAAGCTATCCGCCACGGCAGGACGTGGGCATTTTGCGTCCATGCTGACGCTCTCCTTTGAGGTACTGGCCCAGAAAGCACCAGAGGTCTCTTTCATACATGACTATCCCGGATTCGTGAAAACGGACCTCGCGCGAGGCACTAACGGCGTTGGGATGGCGATCGTCAAGGGTTTGTTCAGGGTTATTGGTCCGTTTTTGTATAACCCCTCCGAGGAGGTTGGTGAGCGGCAAACCTTCTTTGCTACCGGTATAAGATTCCCACCCGCCTCTGGTGATGCCAAGGGCGTGCCCTCTGAAGGTGTCGGTATTGCCACAGGGACTGATGGAAGGAAGGGCAGTGGTGTGTACTCGGTGCATCTGGATGGGGACACAAAAGTGCAAGAGGTGTTGTCTGCATTGAGGGAGAGCGGGCTGAAGAATAAGATGTGGAAACTTGTTGAGGAGGAGTCTATTCGCGTAACGGGGAGTGTATCGATATAGGACATACTCCTGCTCATTGGTATAGTTTTACATTGCATGAGTATTGCTGCTGACAGGCTTAATGGCTTTAAAACTATCTGTTATGTGTATCTGCATGAACACATTCATTCTAGAGACAGAATTATCAATGAAGAGCACACCACGGCAATAAAGCGGACTTGATATCAGGCACTTATTTACATTGTCCAGTTGACGAGAGGCGCTATCTGTCCTCCCTCTGAGCAATCAGACTCGGTCTGTCAGCTCTGTCAGCTTCCGCTCAGCAAGAGGGGACTTACATACCTCTTCCAGAAGAGCACTATCTTAACCCGTCGTATTACTCCAACCAAAATATCTCTGCACATAGCCACCAGATGCACAGAAGAGTATCCTCGGGCTGCCTTAACGGCGGGGGCTGAGGCCCATCACGTGCCCATCGCGAACCCTCACCTTAACTGTTAACATGGCTCCACACAGTCCTGTTCTGGCTTCTTGCAAGGCCTTGGTACAGGAAATCAAATTTACAATGCCACATTTCTGATCCAACAAGTGAAATACTAGTTGCTCATTCATACAAGACTACGAGATGAATGTGGAGTAATAGTCTTGCAAGTAAGGCTACCTCTTCAGGAAGCGGGTGGCCAGGCTCTCAGAACAACCTGGATCACTACTACTTCCCTACGATACTAAGAACCTCAACTGGAGCTACATCACTGGGGCTTCTAGGCGCTCGCAGCTCCCGAGGTATATATCTGTTCGATTCTCGAGATCATCCTGAGCGTTTCCGCCACTGCCTGGCCACGATGATTACTGGTGGACAATGAGAGAGTTCAAGAGGTGCGAATCGCGTCTTGCTGAATCCCGTCAGCACAGCAGCCCTTCATGCCAGCAGTCAGTTTTGCCAAAAGGCAGCATTTATATTTTATCAGGGCTTGTGAGGCTCGTGGCCCCGGCATGTAAACTAATGCCGAACTAGTTTGCTTAGTGTTTCACTAGAGCCGAGGAAGAGTCTCATCCAACCGATGATGGGAACTAATACTTGACGGCCCGACCCATGTCGACGCTAATGTCATCTTGTGAGTCCGTTCGAATAAAAGCACAATGGTATATATAATGTAATTGGCCATCCACGGGACTGTGCGCGCCTTTCTTGTACTAGCGCTTCCGACGCTTTTGCCTTGGTGGGCGAGTATGCACGTAGGTACCTAGCTTCTCCTGAGGACGGTGATAGCTATTGTCCCCTATTATTCTTGTCTATGGCTTGGTGGGAAAAGATCGTACCCAAAGCCTATCCTCATGTTGATATCTGGAAGCTGGAAACTGCTACCTGGCCTTCTGCTTCTGTCTAAAATACCTATTCTCATGTTCAGATCAACATTGCTACTTGCGCTTGCCTTGAATGGCTTTCAAAGCAATGATAGGTCCATTTTCAAGCTGATTACTTACAAACGGTCCTAACTTTGAGCTTTTTACTAGCATTCCAGATCACTTATCCAAAGAAGGGCGACCTGGTGAACGTTTACGATGGCCTTGTCACGACCTGGTCTTACCACTCTTCCGACTCGATATTGCTCCCTCTTACAATTTACTTCGTCGCGGTCTCCCACGACGACGAATCTGCGACATACATTCGGGACGACATCAATATTGCCCTGGGCAAATGGACGATATCTACCATTTTCCCGGTGGCCGAGGCCTATTATCTTCGGTTTATCTATGCTAACAATTTTTGGGAAACCGGGAACTTCCGGATTACCGCATCCGAACAATCAACAAATGCCAGCGATACGTCGAGTTCGGCCAGTCCCAACGTTTACTCAACTTCGTGCCCCAGTAGCACGACCCTATGGACAACAGAGTCCACCGCCACAGTAGCTAGCTCTCTGACGATAGGAACAAATCAGGCATTGGGCTCTGGGGGTGCTGCAACTGTTGCCCAGAATAATTATGTCTGTTAACATCGGGGGCTGACAGCCCCGCCAAAGTCATGATGGTGCCGTTTAAGGGGACATGAAAGTCAGGATAGTTGACCATCCCATGGCGTCGATGCGCCTCAGGGAATTATGATTGCACACCTCCATGGTTTGGCCCCGAGGCAATCGTCGTCCCCTGGATTATTTAAAGCTTCCCGCCCTCCTCCCTGATCCTTTACCTTCAGATCTCCCTATCTTTGCAAGTATGGAGGCACAATTGACCGACGAGGAACTTCAGCAACTTCTTCAGGAACTTCAAATAGCCAAATTATTGAAAAATGGTGGATTCAGACGGAATAAAAGCTTCAAGACGAAAGACGTCTTAAACGCTGAAAACAGTAATAATCACAATATTCAGGTCGATACATCATTTGGAATGTAAAAGATAAGCTCTCTTGCATATGCCGCAGCAGCGGCAGCAGCGTACCCATGCCAGTAATCATTCTTATGACTGTCACAATAGTCTGAGATACCACGAATAACGAGGCAGGGGAAATTTACTAACACACCTGCAGCTTCTGTTTCAAAGCACAGGATGTTATACTGTTTGGCTAGATCATCTCTCAGCTTACCGTCTTTGATAACCAGTTCGCCAGAGGCAATGATGCCCCTGTGAATAACCACAAAATGATCATCATCTTCATTATCAATGAGCTGCACACGCTGGGATGGATCACATCCACACTGTGCACAGGGAAGTTTCGGGTCAAGATGCGTATATTCAGCTCGGTACAGGTGGTCTAGAGCTGAACCTGGACGCATATACCTCCGCAGCCCTCTGATGTTGGTATCAATCCGTTCGATATTATCCAGTATAGAGTCCTTCCTGGACCTTGCGCGTTGAGCGGCAAGAGCCTGAGCAGCGCTAAGAAGTATTGTTGGCGGTGGAGCTAGCGCACCAGTGCGAATGAAACGAGCCACTTCAGCTTTTCCATGGTCGTATTGCAGCACACCCGAGTGCTCCCCTGTTGGCTTGCTGACCACAACATCACCGAGTCGGATCATCCCATTGTCAGTTGTTGTTGGTACACCGCCTCCGATTCCCACTAAGAGACAGAATCTTAGGTTCGGAAATGTTGTTCTCGCTTGAGTAATAACTGCAGCAGCTGAGTTATTGCCTGTCTGAGGCAATCCTGCAATTACCACGTTGTGGCTCCCAATACTGCCAAGAGTATAGACATTATAGTCTGTGCGAGGCTGGGATAGAGGCTCATGCTGTTCGTCGAGCATTTCCAATGCAGCGATCTGCTCTACTTCCAACGGACAGATCCATGCGACTTGATAATCTTCATGCTGTCGCTTTCTTTGTGTTTGGACCCGAGTTTCTCTGAGGCTTGCACTCCCAGCCGCAGAGATTCTGGAACTAACATGGGCACGCACCGCAGAGACACAGCCCAAAGGATCCTGCGGTGCAGAAGTGCAACCAACCTGGAGGCTGAAAAGTCTCAGTCGTCCGCACAGCACCCACCATAGTGGATCCTTCGTAAGCTTTGGAAGAGCTAGTTCAAAGCCCTCCAGTACCTCCGTCATCCAGTGGTCATTCAGCCTCGATTCTGGGTCTCTTAGGTAAATCAGTACAGTCTGTAATAGACCAGTGATTTGCAGGGATGTGCTTACTGTGCTCTTTGCACAAAGGCGCGCATATTCTCTTGCCAGGCAACTGTAATTATCGTGCCAGCAAGGTGCTTCACGAAGTCGGCTAGAGTGATTGTTGCTGCATTTGGATCCCTTTCAAGCTCGAGTAGCGCGTCGTCAAAGTTTGATGCTGGGTTGATGAAAGCAGTAAGCCATGCATGGCCTTCCTGAAATCTTTTGAACATACCGCCTTCGGCGTAGTTGTTGAGATAGGGAATGATTTCGCGCCTAAATATGACATCTTTCTCCTCATTTGACTCCATTGCGGGCAGTCGCAGCCAGTCTCGATAGTCTGGTGCCCCAAAGGCTGGAATGAGTGACGGAATACCTTGAACAGCCATTTTGTTCTCCGCTGGGCAATGTATGGTAAATCCTCTTGAGTGCGCCTAAAAACACCTTTCTCGAGAGCAAAACCTAGCATAATGGATGCCGAGAGAACCATTAATTAAGCCAACATCTGTCAGAGTTTCCAACCAGCAAACCAGTGCGGCTGACGTTGCAGGTGACCCAAGCCCCTCAGAGGCGTGTTGTACAAATCAGCCCTGTTCCAATTTTCAATGTTGGGAAGACGAGTAAAAGCAAATCCGGTGGTGGCTTTTTTACGTGGATGACTCCCACCCAACAAAGATTGCTCACTTGCGAGCGCCATAGCGAAGTAGCCTGGCCCACCGACAGAGAATCGCAGGCTTGTAGATTCTACTTCCTAATACACTGGATGGTGACCTCCAAGGATCAGTTTACTTTCCAGATGGGTGGAGGCGGTGCCGCGGCCCAGCTGGAATCTCAGTGACAAATAAGCTATGCTATTTATGTGTACATCCATAAAGGCAGCTACCTCATGTTAGGAGCTGTCCAAGCCAGCCTACAATTCACGCGCTGATGGCGGAACACTTAGTGTGTCATATTCCACGCAAACCTCCAACCGGACCGCCTGATTTAGCGCCTGATGGATCAAGTCCCCCTTATACAGCCTTACAGGCGCTTTTTTCCTCCTGCTATTTGTCAAGAACAGAAACTATGTAGCCACAGGCCATGACTGACAAGGCTGAGAGTCTCCGGAAACATAACTTGACCTTTTGGCAGGATCTAATGAGGATTCAGCGTGAACATAATTCCCTTTCTTATGATGCTGTTTATCTCCTTAGTGTAGCGGGCAGGGCCCGCTGAGTGCTCAAGCCGACATTCGGTCTTATAAAGGCTTTCTGGAATTCCTGGCAAGAAATATGAAAGATCCACTTTGAGCCAAAAAGAAGCCAATGTCAACTATCAATAGACTCCACAGAGATTCAAAGGCTGGGCTTCTTCGACGGGGCTTTTCGAATTGCACTATTGTAATAGTTAATGAGTATAGGTAAGCTAACACGAGTCCGACACTATGCTTTCCCTCCATATTTCAGTTAGAAGAATCTGCATGTGTCACTGTGACGTCCCAAGGTCTCTACTGGCAGCTAACTACCCCTTCAAAACACGAGCTATTTTTGCTTGATGGACAAATGGCGGTAACTCTGATTCCCATTGCATTTCCTAAATCTCAAGGGGGTATATGGATATGACAAAATCAGGGTGCATATAAACAGTGCTGGAAAGACAAATTCTCATACAAAATGCATAATCTTGCAGTTCCATCCTCCACATACAAATTTCCCCCTACTTCTTCTGATTTGCAAGAAGCTGGTTAGCCTGGGTCCGCAGATGCTCCGTGTCGATCCGAAAATTCATCTTATAATCATACGCAGCCGTGAGATGCGTTCTGTTAATCTTAAGATCCCTATTAGGCCTCTCGGCTAGCATCTGCGCCATGATGAAGACATTGCGAATTTCTCGGCCGCTCAGGATATGTCGTCGAGATGCTTTTTTGGTCTCCTTCGCCCACTTGTGTAGATCGTTGGAATCGTCGCACAACCCCTGCTCGTCCAGACGTTCGATCCATAATTTCCATATTTTATACTCCTGGTCGGAGTTTGGTTCTCCGAAGTTCACGGCGTGATGGATCCGCGAGAGGATGGCGGGGTCAAAGGCGACGACACGGTTGGTGGTCATTATGAGCACTCCTTTGAAGTACTCGACTTCTCGAAGAAGGACTATCCAGTATTAGCATGACGTTGTATCATAGGAGATCTAATGGTAGAGTGATACCTGAGACAAGGGCGTTCTTGGTAACCAAGCTCTCGTTGGCGTTTCCTCGAGCGTCGAGAAGGACATCGGCTTCATCTCTGTGACATGTTAATCATGTAAACCACCCAGGCGACGATAATTTGGATACGGGTTCATCTACATGAGAAGCACAGCCTTCCATGCCTCAGCAAGCCCGAAAATATTCTTGAGGGTTCGTTCCGCCTGTGGAGCATTAAGCCCTATATCACTCGTGCCGACCTTGAACAGGGGTCGACTAGACGATTTCGCTAACGACTCCGCATAGAGAGTCTTTCCCGTCCCGCTATGACCTACAAGGAGTGAGTCGGCTATCGCTTCTGCACTTCGCTTGCTCAAGTCTGACCACATACCGTGAAATAAGAGAATTAGGCTCTCTCCTTTCCCCCCGATCATGTCCGCAATCCGCTGACTGCGTGGTTTCGCCATCACATGCCAGTGGTTGCTCACCATCGTGAAGATATGCCGTTGCTCATCCTTGCTGACTTCGTCCGGTAGTATAAGGCCCTTCATCTCGCCTTCAAACTCCCCCATCTCAGCAGGCTCAGTCCGTTCGATGTCATTCAGGAAGAACTGACCCCATTCCTTCCGGTTCAGGGCGAATCCAAAAAGCCTAGGTGGAAGGAGGAGATCGTTGTAGTTGGACGGACGAGTGACTTTAGATTTAATGTCATGCACCCAACTCTTTGTCTCAGAATCCAGACATAGTTGACAGTGGCAGAGCTTGGTGCTGCTGGTTGGCTCTAACGTGTTTAAATCTCGACTACCGCCAGCCTTCCGCACGTAGTTCACCGTATCGAGAATAATATCTTCATCGATCTATTCCCAGTAGAGCACAGATCATAGTCAGTATAGGAGAAAACGTCGAGGGCTCAGCGTCATACGAACATTTACAACTCCTGGTGCAGGGATGTGCCACAAAGTTGCTCGATAGCTCATCTCCGCTTTTGCTCGATCCAATTGAAACGCCGGAATTCCTCCATAGAAATCTCCGGAATACCGCCGCAGCCTTGAGTCATGGTAATCCAGCGCGTGTTGAAGAAATTTTGCCCTTCGATCTCGATACACTGACATCCCCCAAATTGCGTCCAGGTCCCTTTGTCCCTTCCCGTCCTCATAGAATGCGACTGGATAGCACCTAAGCTCCGCTGGGGGCTTATCGCCCGCGTACTCGGGGATCCTAAACTCAAACATTGTGCGAACGATCTCCTTCCCATCCCAATCCCACATCCAGGCGGCGATCACGAGCTCGTTCATCACGAGGTGGACGTTATCAACCGGATGCAAGGTCGTTTTCTTCGAGTTGTACCATGCATCGTGCACCTGGAAGACCTGCATATCATGCGCTGAATTCCACGCCCCGACGACTAGGCTGCCAGGCTTAAACAGCGTCCACAGGAGGGCATACTGGATGCGAAAGTTCCGCAAGTCATCCACCGACTCTGGAATTCTCCACCGCAGGGGATCGTGGACTTTATCTACCACTTGTAGTAGACTTTGAAGACGTCCACGCGTGGTCGGATCGAGTGAGGTCGACTGTGCTTGGATCTCCAGCTCGGCATAGTTGAAGATGAGCGCCTTCAACGGCGACCTCAGCGTCACTTGTGGCCCTTGCCAGATATTATTGCCGGTGTGGACATTGTAGTTGGCGATCACCTTTCTGATGCAGTCTCTCAGTTTGTTGTCAAAAAATACTATTTTCCAGGAGCTCCTGTTCGGGCCTTCCACGACCTCTATAACCCTAAGCCATTCATCCGGTGACTCCGGCTTTATCTTCGGGTGCCCCGCCGAACTGCAGTCTGGCGATCGATTTGGGAACATATTGTGCGATTTGCAATACACGATGCCGCTTTCGGGGGTCTGGGAGAGGTTTGTTTTGCCCGTCGTGTCCATCTGGGGAATCTCGGCTGCAAGTCTCTTCTCTGAGGCAAGAGTGATTTCTAGTTGATCGGTCGTCATGTTAGGCAATGTGATCAATATTGTTGATTCCAGATGCTTGGTTGTGTTGGACTCTGTCTTATTTATCCAGGTGAACAGAAAAGTTAGGGTAAATAAAAACGGGCTGAGATTCAGCTGGCACAAGTTAATAACAACAGACTCCGCGAACGACAAGACATACACCTAGCCGCTTATCTATACATCACTCAACACACTAGCTAGTAATGACTGCAGATCACCCCGCTTTAATCTCTAGAATTTATCATACGTATCCTCAACACTGATCGTCGAGTCTCATTGGTCGATATTGATAGCATAGCCACCACTACCAGATAGCTACCGCGCGGGTAGATTGCATTATAACGTTAACAGGGTGCTGCCTGGTAGCGCCGGGCTGACGTGGCGAGGCAAAGACGGGGCTCAGCCAGGATTCGGGGCCAAGCATACCCTATGGGAAGTGAGGATGGAACAAGGATTAAATAGCTAATGTAGAGTACTTTTTTGGGCACAAATGGTGTCTTGACCTTTGCCCTGCCCCAATGCCCGAGTGTCCGCGCTACAAGAGTGTGAGAGGACCGACGGGATTAGCTCCGTAGTTTCAGTGGAGTACAATAAGGCACGACAATCTTAAGTAGACCAAGCTATCTTTTCTATCAAGACCGTTAGTCGAAGTTATGCCTATTCAGTCAGCCGAGATGACAGTCCCAACTAAATATTCGCTCTCAACCGATGGTCAGATATACCGTGACCTCTACGGAAATGTCGACGCCGAGCTCTTGAGGGAAGTGCAGGGGGCTGACCAGTCGAATGTGGAGACTCTGGTGCAAAGCATCGTGCAACTTGCCGCGCGAACGCAAGGCGATTTCCACGTGTCTCGGAGTACTTCCACGAGCAGGAAAGTCGGCGCTAAAGTCCAACAGCTAGCCAGTCGAATACACGATTTCATGCAGGTGTTCTCCGGAATAGTTGAGGTTATCAAGGGCGTTGATGCCCAGGCTGGTCCTATCGCCTATGGCTCGTTTGTCTTGCTTTTGGCAATCGCGAAGAACAAGCAAATGCACGAGGATCTTATTTCCGACACACTGGAGACGTTTCGTTGCTGGCTATCGAGGCTGAAGATGATTAGCCTTGCAGAGCAACGGGATGAAACCGTGCAAAAGCACATCCTCGAAATCTATATCAAAATAATAGACTTCGCGCAGCAAAGTATCAGATATTATTGCAGCTCATCCGCTCGAAGGATTTTCCGGGGTATCTCTAAACCGCCCCAGCTTTACGCAAAGAAATATGCGGATGAGATCAAGGAGAGCATCGCGGACTTAATGCAGGGGCTGCTTGTTCTCCAACACACCATAATCCTTGAGATGAGTTATACTACCCAGGCAACCAATCGTCTTCTCTCAGATGGCCACGCGGAACTCCATGAAATTCACATAGCGAAGGTTAGAAAGCTATTCAATGTCCCCCCAACACTCAGCGCCGAAGATATGCTTCAACGCAGCAAAGGAAGGTTCAACGGCATGTTCGCAAGAGGCAAGTCCAAAACAGGGACCGGGAGAAGGGCCCCACCCAGGCTCGAGCAGGTCAGCCTTAGCATGGTCTCGCAGTGCCCTGCATACAAGGAATGGGTAAACAGCGAGTCCTCTAGCCTTCTTCTACTCGAAGGCGATAACTATGACTTATACGACGCGAGCCCACGGGTCTGCTGGCTGTCACCCGTCACAATTGAGTTTTATGAGCATGTGAAGGAATTTGAGAGGATTCATGTCCTTTTTCATTGCATTGAGGGAAACCAACGACCCGAGAGTGGCGTTATACTGATGCTGAAAAGTATAATAATACAGCTGTTGGAACAGGACATACATCTATGCGCAAAGCGAATTGACGATATTTGCGATGCATTCAAAGACCCGCCTCCTGAGCTTGACGAGTTGATTTATTCCATGTTTCAAATCCTCGAAACCAGCTTCCAAGAGATTCCCCTAGGACAAACAGTATACATCGTGCTGGATGGGGTTGAGCATCTTGGGTCTGAAATTCCTAAAGATCTCTTTGGCTCTTTGTTACATCTTCTGGACCGTCAAGATCTTAAGGCAACGGTCAAGGTATTTGCTGTCTGTCGTTTGGGTTATTGGCCGAATAAATCAAGGTCAAACGACTCATCGCGAAGCTTGAAGGAGGCCATAGGGCTCGGAGGTCACGTGGATCTGATGTCGCGGGTGCTCTATCAACCGGGCTGGAAGCAGGGCACATTGAAAACACCAAAAAAATTGACGTAAAGACGACATTCTGTATTAGAGGACGGCGGTAAGCTGTCCCAATCTTCCCCACTATCCCCCAATCCGCAGTTTATTTCATTTTTTTCGAGGTTGCTCCACCGCTGTGTGGTCATAAACTCAATCTGCACGCGTTCCAGCTTTGGGTAAAAAGGGTATGAGTGAGGGTGAAGAAAGGCAGCGGGAATAAACCGCATCAAGAAACAACAAACTCAAAAGTAAAAAACATACAACAGCCGGGATTCGCTGGTGGTCACCCACCCAACTACTAACCGGCCGGCGTGTGGCTTAAGTACGGCTGAGCGGACGGGAAGCCCTGTTTTCCACACCCTATGGTCGTATGTGCTAGATTCATATCATCTATAGTATATATAGTCTGGGTTATTTCATACCTAGGAGAATTTTGACAGCCCTTCGACGTTGTTGGGGCTATAAGTCTAGGCGGATAAAGCCTCAAGTCCATGGGAATTTTGTCCATGGACAGGAGCCGTCCGCCCGTCCATGGCCAGAAGGTTCAGTCCCATCTCCTGTCCATATGCGCCCTTAGAAATTCCCATGGACGGGTCCGACGGGACTTGCCTAGGTCTATAAACAATAGAAAACGAGAGCTCCTCCTTTCCGCTTCATTATAGATCCCTAAAATTCCCGACTTTTGAGGGCGATATCAAGCAGTATTTAGAAGCAGAACCAGAACAAGCGTAAAGAGTAGTAGTAGACTTTGGGATTATGAATGCCAAGACTACAATTTGATGCATAACTGGGTTCAAACTGGGTCTAGATTGGGTTTTCTGGGGCCCCAGTCACTGGGTCTGGGTTGGATTCTGGGTCATGATCTCGGTGTTGAATATTACGGTGGCTGAACCATGCAGCAGGGATTGGAAGTGGATATATATGAGGCATCCCACCCTGTAAAGTTAACACCTTAAGCCAACCAAGAACAATTAATCTATTCTTACTTCCAACACTAGGACCCATTTGCATTTTGCGGAAGCCTACCCTGGATGTGGCGCACTCTGTGCTTCCACTTTGCAAGGGCCTCTATAGAACGGTGTAATACTCTTCAGGCCAATTACAGGCACTTATCACGAACAACTAACATAGTATGTCTACCCAGGTATGCAACCTGATGCTCTGGTGTCACTGACCGTCCCTAGGGTTTAGTCACCGGACCTGAATTGCTGGGCTTGGCTCCATAAGCTCATCCTACTTCATGGGCTGTCAGCAACCAAGTTTTCGGTGCCTTGACCGCTGATTCACCATACAGTATAACCCTTACACACGCCGGAGTTCAAGGCTCACAGATATACTCAATACTTCCGCCATCCCCGTTGTGCCACATCATAAGATGTACGCCTTGTTATCCTCGTTTAGTTTATGCAGTGCTACCTGAGACGGTCAGGCATAAAGCACCATAAATATTTCAACACGGACCATCCCGTTCATTATTTCTACATCCTTTCTTTTCAGTTTGCAAGCATCGTTCTCATACGACGTTCGTACTATCCTGTCATATCACATACTGTTATATCACACGAATTGTTACCATGACTGTGAAGAGCAATGTTCAACCCGAAATCCCTCGCATTGACGCCAAGAATGATATTTCACTGGTCTGGCCAACAGTACAGGAATACGGCGCAGCGATCATTGAAAACTTTCTGCCGCCCGACGTCGTCCAGCGCCTCAATCAAGACCTCAACCCGTTCATACAGACCACCCCAACACCGGCGGCCGAGGGCAAGGATTTCCCCAACCGTCTCTTGTCCCTGAAGACTAAATTCGTCACTTGCTTAGCTAGCTGTTCTAAAACCTTTCGGGAGGATGTCTTGAACAATGGACATTTGCATCAGATCTGTCAGGACATCTTCAATGAGGCTTATGGGGACTACTGGATTCTGGCCAGTGCAGCCATGGAGCTGGCTCCCAACAATGCTGCGCAAGCCCTGCATCGGGACCTAAGGGCTAGTCATCCTCTTTTTGACTACCTCAGACCAGATGCACCCACCGCGGCAGTGAACTTTCTCATTGCAATGAGTCCCTTTACCGTTGAGAATGGTGCGACTCATGTGGTCCTGGGAAGCCATAATTGGAAAGAAGTTGGCGCGCCCTCGCAAGATGAAACTGTTCAGGCAGTGATGCAACCAGGAGATGCCTTACTTATTACCGAGCGCACTGTCCACGGCGGAGGACAGGACATCACCGGCGTTGAGACTCGCCGCTTCGTTTCTCTAACCATGTCAGCCAGCCAGATCACCCCCTTCGAAAGTCACCTTGCAATTCCACGCCAGATCATTGAGAGTCTAACCCCGCTCGCTCAGAAAACTCTTGGCTGGAGGAGTCAACGATCATCCGCTCCCAACGACCTTGGACTCATGACTGTGCAAGGACTCTCTTTGGAGAGAAAGCTGGGGTTGAAGTCGGATCAAACATTGGTTAAGGATGGAATGAATTCTCACTAGATGGTATCAGATATAGATTAATTCTGCAGTAATATTGAAATACCCTCTTTCAACTGAATTATAGTTAATCTTGACACCAAGGCATTGCAGCCAAGAGTTCGCGTAAATTGCATACATTATGGAAGACACCATACCATGCACACTAGTTTTGCCCTAAAATGGGTCAAATGGGCCAAAGGGGTCGGCCCACGAAAGGACAGAAAATCGGTTTTTCGGCCTGTTGAAGTAAGAATGAATTGATTCTTCTTGGTTGACTTAAGGTGCTATCTTTACAGGGTGGGATGCCTCATGTATACATATCCATTTCCAATCCCTGCTGCACGGTTCAGCCACCATGATGCTCAACACAGTCACTGTGATACTCAACAGGAATCTCGAGCTATGTGAAGACAATCTGGCTCCCGCTGAGTCAACTCTATGATCATGCAGCTAGAACCGGTCTTGCGGCTGGTCTCGGGCGGATTTACCTAATGCAGAATATAGGCAGACCTTTGGTGGCATGCCTACGATGGTGTGACTACATCGTACGAAGTGAGCCTTTAACCCATCAGCCAAACGAGATCTGCGGATTCGCCAATTCTGCGGTCACTTTATACTAATCTTGGATACATGAGTCATCACAAGTTTCTTGCCAGTTTGTGTAAGCAGGCGGTCAAATTCCCAATCCACGGCATCAGGACTCGGTCTTTGCTGAGAGCTGCATTGTATGTCATGTGGAATTCAAGACAGCCGTTGGAAACGACCGAGTTAATCTCAAACATGGCCCAGCGATCGAGGTCCCCGGCACCATCGAACAAGCTTTGCTTCGACAATGGCTCCATACGGAGGAGGGCATCGGCGCGCTCAGCCTGTTGAAACTTGCCCGCGTAGTTGAAGGTGATTTCAATCGGGGGCATACCGGCGCTCTGCCGCTTGTTCTGAGAATTCTGATAGATCGACGTGAAGTAGTCCCAGCCGTGATTCGTCCTTTGCCGCCGGGCAACTTTAACCTTCTCGATGGCGGTTCGCAGGTCATCAGATGTCTCCAGTTGGACGACGACAGGCCAGAGCGTAGTAAACCAACCCACCGTGCGGGTGATGTCGATGGTTTGATCCCACGGGTCCCGGCCGTGAGCCTCAGCGTAAATGCTAGGGGTAGCGCGCTCAGGGAACGTTTGCATAAACGAGAAGAGAAGGGCCGCATGGAGAAGCTCAACTGGCTCTACGCCCAACACCTGTCTCGACTGGCTGAAAATCGCGTCTGTTGTTCCATCATCGAGGCGGATCATCTTGCTCTCTGAATTCCCGATCAGATTGGGGTTGTCCGATGCCCCCCAGAACTTCTTAATGAATTCCTCATCAATGCGAGGCAACATGTGCACATCGGCAGGCTTAAGATGGGTCCGGGCGTACTCTGCTTGAAGTCGGGACCACGTCTGGAATGACATGGATGGTTCGGGCTCCGATCGATCGCCCTGTAGCATTGCGTCCAGATCAGCGAGCATAATGCGCCAGGACACCAAGTCAATGACCAGGTGATGGCCTATCATGAATAGACATTGCTTGTCGCCGAGCTCGAACAGATCTACTACAAACACGGGACCGCACACGATATCGAGGGACCCCTGGCTTGCTGCGATGATCTGGCGCATCTCCTGCTTTGAAGACACCAGATGTGATCGGAACTTGAAAGACTCTTTGGTGGCATTGGAAATGTACTGCATCCAATTTCCGTCTTCGTTCCGAACGTATCGTGCTCGCAGTATTGAATGCCGGCGGACCAGTTGGGCCACTGCGCGTTCAATATCGGTAGATGCCACCGGCTGCTGGATATGGACGAGCATGTTCTGATTGAATCGTGATGTGCCCTGGGGATACTTTTCGAAAAAGAATAGCTGAATGGGGGACAGGTCAAACAATTCATCCGTAACGTCGTCCTGCATGAGTGATGGTGGGCGTCCAGTCACGACTGCCTCTTTAGCAATCGCCGCGATTGTTTTTAGCTGCAAGATATGGTGGGTAGAATGCTCAAAGCCACGAGAGCGCGCCTGGGCGACGACCTGCATGGCACTGATGGAGTCACCCCCCAGGTCATAGAAGCTGTCATTCACCCCGATGCTGTCGCCCGGGAGTCCCAGAACATGCGCCCAGGTTGCGTGGAGTTTCTCCTCGACGTCGGTTGAGGGCTTCGCCTTGGAGAAACTGGAGGCACCGCATGGAATCAGCTCGGCCCATGTATGTTGCTCGATCACCTCCTTCAGCCTCCGCCGATCCCCCTTTCCACTGTCGGTTTTTGGTATACTGGCGACATGAAAGTAGATCGACGGGACCATATAGTTCGGAAGAATGGAGTGTAAGCCAGTTTGGATCTCACCGGTCAGGCGCTGGAAGCTCTCTGTGGGCGATGCAAGGAACGTGGTTCCGAGAGACCTTTCTTGACACCTGAGAGTGCTGCCGGCGTCTCTCTGGGCGATGAATGCAGCTAGACGTGGCGCTTCCTGTCCCAAAGGAGCTGCGACCACTGTCACAACATCGAGCACCCCCTTGAAGCCTCGGATATGGTATTCGACCTCTTCCAGCTCGAATCTCTGGCCACGGATCTTGGACTGGGCGTCCTTTCGGCCGAGGAATAGCAGCGATCCGTCCTCGTTCTGTTGGACCAGGTCACCAGTCCTGTATATCCTCGTGTCTATGTCTTTTCGGAGAGCAGTGAGCCAATTCGGGGGCTGAACAAACGCTTTGCTCGTCGCTTCGGGATTGTTGAGATATTCACGACCAATGCTGAAACCTTCAATCAAGAGCTCACCAACGGCACCGATGGGAACAAGACGATGATAGTCTGTCTGGTCTGCCACCCAGGTCGCCACCCCCATGGGAAAGCCGATATCTCTGAGCTGGCCATCAGCCCGCGTGATATGGCGTGCGGTAGATGCGACGCAGCATTCAGCGACTCCATATTCATTGATGAGATGGACCCTGTCCACCCAATAGCTAATATCTGCCGGGGACATCACTTCACCGCCCATGACAATGACGCGAAGGGATGCAATATCCTGATGCATTAGAAGTCGAGCAGCAGAAGGTGTCAAGAACGCATGTGTAACCGTATAGCGTTGTACGGCGCCTGCCAAGCTGTCGCGACGTTCTGTCTCCGACAAGACGCAGATACATCCTCCCGCCAGAAGGGTGCTAAGCGTTTCCATGATGCTGACATCAAACGCATATGAGGCAAACTGGAGCACCCGAGAGGACTCGTCAACCAGGTGGGCCTTATTATGAGCTTCGGAGCTGGAACAGTATGACTGGTGGTCAATGACAATTCCTTTTGGGTTTCCTGTTGACCCCGATGTAAAGGCAAGATACAGCGGATCCTGCGGCTGTACCACTGGTAGGCGCATCGGATTCTGCTTACCCCAGAAGGCTGCATTGTCATAAACGCCAATAACTTCCTCAGTGAGCTTATGTGCTCGGTCGACCTGGCCTTCGGAACAGATTATACACGGCGCTCCTATATCAGAACAGATAGCTAGAAGCCGGCGCATGGGAAGTATAGGGTCTAACAACACGAACGCACAGCCGGCCTTCATGGTGGCCAGAATGGCCACGGTTGTCCATCTTGACTTTTCAAATAAGAGAGGAATGGGCATCCCCCGCTTGACACCGTGAAGAAGTAACTCGCCCGCCAGCTTGTCCGATAGTGTCGTAAGCTCGGAGTAGGAAAGATTTCCATCCCAAGACATCACAGCCAGAGCATTTGGTGCCGCGAGGTGTCTGTTTTGAATTATGTCGTGAACACAATGCGTAGGAGCCGATGGGATGTCGCGATTCCATTTCTGCAGCCAGCCCCAGTCTTGCTGCGTTACTCGCGGGATGTCCCCAATCTTCTGACGACTGTTTGTCAGGAGTCTCTGCAAGACAAGCTCCGTATGCTGCATCAGCCGATGAACATATCCGCGACCAATCATGGCAGGATCAAAAGTCACTACGGCTTTGCATTCCCGGTCCTCGAGGGCTGTCAAGCACTCGATAGAAAGTCCGTATGCGGAAAACCCTCCTACGGCAGTGGCAGAAAATTTGAAGTTTTCCAACGGTCCGGTACCTACAGGAAGTTGAGATGGCGGCTGAATGATCAGTTGGCTCTGGAACGTGCAAGCCCTTCTCGTGTTTGGGCTATACTTTTGTATATTCTGCAGTCCCGCCTGCTCAAAAGGTATCCCCTTCACCATTTGAATCTGAATTTGCGAAAGTTTTGCTATGATACTATCCTTCGGCGATACCTTGATGCGCCGTGGGATGGTTGCAATGGTTGGGCCCGATATGTCCGATATTCCGTCCACGGCTGCACCTCGACCGTTGACTGTAAGGCCAAAGACAATATCATTAGAGCCTGTGTGATAGGAAGTGACCAGTGCCCACGCCAGGGTCAGATAGCTGGACATCGTGTAGCTCCTGGTGTATCTACCTGGCAGCGCCATCGTGTAGGTGAGCTCCTCCGTCGCTGCCGGAATGTAATTTGGCGAGGGCAATGCGGGGAATACCACGGATTGCACGTTGTCGAGCTCCTTCACCCAGTAGTCCTTGAATCGATCCTGGATTTTGGCCACGTAGCTCACGAACGGGCTGAACAGGTGGCGTGATACTGGCAGGTTCCTGTAGGCCGCTTCTAGCTGTTTCAACAAGAGGCGGAATGACCATTGATCACACAGTCCGTGATGCAAGACCACAGTGAAGGACCATGTTTGTCCGTCGGCGGCGGTTGGAACTAGGTAGTGGTGGACAAGGCGGCCGCCAATGCCCATTTCAAGTGAGCCGATGTGGCGAGCGCAAGCACTCATAGTATCAACCCGATGCCAGTGCAGAGATTCCTTGGTGACGACCTGCATTGTTCCATGCGAGGCAGATATCACGAAGCGTGTGCGTAAGATATCGTTCATCTGGTATACGCGCTCCCACGCAGCCCGAAATGCCTCAATATCGACGCCTGGGCGCAGCTCACACGTTACTTGTGCCTGACATAGCCGAGGACTCCGACCTGTCATCGCGACCAGTCCGGCCTGAAAGGGGGTGGCAGGGTATACTTTTTCGATTTGATCCTCTGGGAGTCCAGTCTGTTTCATTACTGCTGCCTTCATTCCAGGCAGCTGTCCCATGTCAACCTCGGCTTCCACGCCGTTTGACTGCTTAGGCTGTGCTGAATCTTGCTGGCCTGCTGCCACAGCTAGGTTCCTTAGAACAGGATTGTTGAAGATGTCGGCAATGCCGACGTTCAGGCCTTCCTTTTTCAAATTGATGGCGAGCTTGACGGCGATTGCCGAATTACCCCCCAAGTGAAAGAAATTGTCCAGCATACCAAAGTGCCCGGGCTCTAACTGCAATGTTACTGCAACTGCTCGATGAACTCGCTCTTCCTGGTCACTCTGCGGTGCTCGAGTTTCCGTGACACGGCCGGCTAATCTGTGAAGCTCATGATAGGGTAGACTGTTTACCTCCCGACATAATGATCGGCGGTCTGCTTTGCCGGTGATGGTCGTGGGGATACTGCTGACTGGGAGAAACAGCTGAGGGACCATAAAGCCAGGCAGCAGGAATTGGAGTCGCTTTTCCAAGTCCTGGACGAGAGATCGCCAGTTATCATCCACCTCAACGAAACGGAGGCCGCCATTGGATAATGATGGCGCCTTCTGAACCGTGCCTGAAGCAGAGAGCAAAATGAAAGCGACCAAACTCTGCTGCTGGATTCGCTCGCCAGAAAAGGAATGCACCATCACTATTACCTTCTTGGTGGATGGTAAACATTGCCTGATCCTGGACTCTACTTCACCGGTCTCTAAGCGTTGGCCACGAATCTTGACCTGATTGTCATTTCGTCGCACATACCGGATGGTCCCATCCTCGCCATAGCGCACCAGATCTCCGGTCTTGTACATTCTCCGTGGCTCGCTGAGGTTGGCCAGTTTCATGGACCATGAGGGCCTAGAGACAAATGCGTGGTCCGTCTTTTCCGCATCATCCAGATATCCGTCTGCAAGGCTGGGACCTCCAATCAATAGCTCGCCAACCGCACCAATTGGAGCAAGTTTTTGGTGATCTGAGGGGTCCACCACCCACGCCGTGCCATTCACAGGGAGACCAACACTGCCTCTATCTTGAATTGAAACGATTCTCCGAGAAACCGCAAAGATACCAGCCCACTCCGTTAACCCATACGCCTGGTACAGGCGGACAGCTGGTGCCCAGGTGGTGATGTGATGTGGCTCTAAAGATTCTCCGGCAATCAGCAGATCTATGTCTCTGATGTTGGCTGGGCTCAGTGTTTCCAGGACTGTGGGCGTCAGAAGGGCCCAGTTCACCTGCTTGTGCACCAGGAAATCTGCAAGCGAGTGGAGACGCTCATGATCTGATGGGAGGCAAATCGTCCCTCCCGAGATAAGAGTACACCAGATTTCGATCAGGGAGACACCAAAGCAGTACGAGGCGAATTGCAGACTTCGGCTCGTCTTCCGGAGATGCAATGCGTCGACGTGCTGAGAGATACTTGCAAGCGCCAAATGGCTCACCTGACAGCCTTTCGGCTCCCCAGTACTCCCAGATGTAAAAAAGCAATATGCAGGAGCATCGTGGGTGGCACAGACAGCTAGCCCTTTCTCACCTAGAGTCCATTGAGCGGAGGTCGAGGCCGAGACCACAATAGTGGAGATGTCAAATGAAGAGAACAGTGGTGCCGTCTGGTCGGACACGAGAATGACCTGAGCTTTCGTCTTCTCAACAATCGCTCGTCTTCGGCCTTCTGGATACGCCGGGTCGCATGGGATAAAAGCCCCCCCTGCCTTGTTGACAGCTAGCATAGCCGCGATTGCCCAGAGTGACTTTTCAAAGCACACAGGAACCAGAACCCCCCCTCGAACCCCACGGGCTTGAAGATAGTTAGCAACCCTATCCGTAAGATCCTGCAGCTCATGGTAGGTCAGACAACCATCCCAGGAATCCACGGCCATCCCGGTTGGATTCGTGCGAGCCTGTCGGTCTACATGCTGGAAGAGAAAGCCGTCTGTGGGATGCATGAGAGGTGTTCGATTCCAGGAGGTCACCTGGGCTCTCTGAGAAGGGCAGCAGAAATCGACCTGGTCGATGGGCTGGGCAGGGTTGCGGGCTATAGAATCCACAGCGTACGACAATCCGGACACCAAATGTCGAGCATATTGCTCCGATAGATGATCAGAGTTGTATACTAGTGTAAGCACCATCGGCGCCTGATCCAGGTGCAGTGCTAAATCTACTCCTTCCTAGGATGTGTGAGCGACAGGCTTCATCATCCGTGATAGCGGCAGGGCAACAAAGAGCGACACTTACCAGGGGGCTAATACGATACGCATCCATATCAGACGCAGCCCCAACCACTATTTCCGTATTAATGCGCGCCGCGTGGCCAGCGGTAACGTTGTATCTCTCCCAATTCTTTTCATCAAACAACAAGGAAACGGGTCTAGCTGGGTCAATCGACGTTCCGAATATACGTGGATTGCCGTTGTCCGATACATCCTCTTCCATCCGGACTCGAAATCGAGGTGTATCGCATTCAGCAAACCGCCAGAGCGCAATCGCCCACACGGCTGACAAGGCTAAATGGACGCGTGTTGCGTCCCCGCGAGCAAGACCCTGCAGAGCTCTGACAACATGATCATCGAACTTGATCTTATCCGTATACCGTCCGGCGATAGAAGGGAACATGCAATGCACATCATTCTCAGCCGCATTGCCTGAGTTGGTTTGTGGCTGGTGCATGTTCTCTCTGATTCTGAACGTTCTCGAGAAAGTCATGGGTGCACAAAAGATCGACTGTCACTAGACAGAACAAGATGATTTCCAGGTGGCCTTGTTGGACTAAGTAGTCCCCCCTGGCGCATCAAATATCACAGAAAAAAGGACGAGCTGTCGGCCGGAAATCCCGGCGCACTTTAATCGCTTGTAGAAAACTGGGTCCTTCCTTACCTTGAGCCTAGATCTATGGAATAGCAGACTATGAGATACTCGACATGCCACCCACTCCCAGAAACCAACCAAACCGAGGTATGCTATGCATGTTGTCTTTGACCGCATTCCTTAAGACTTTCTGATATCTGTACCACAGCCCACAATGCACAGCTTTCGGTCCTATCAATTAAATCTGTGTGCCAGAAGACCCAGTCAATTTTGCAGTAAGTAGCGGCGGTTTCTGACTGTTTTCATGATGGAATACGGGCAAGTGCGATGCCTCACCTTTGGAAGCATGCATTGGTATAATCTAATCGGCCCAGCTGAGGCATGGGATCACATGGCACAATGTAAGGGTAACAAGATTATTCTCTCGTGAACGGAAATTTCCACCAGCCGAGCGCATGCTGTGTGGGACCGTGTGTTCACTGTCGATCCTGTAGAGTAGTAGTGATGTGTAAAAGATGGGTCGCCGTCCACTTATCGCTACAAGAAATTCTATCCCTTGCGGGCTATGCTTGTGTGATAATATTTGTAAACCCATCGTTGAGCTCTTTTGCTGTAATAGAGCCTATGTGGGGTGATAGAAATGCACACATTGTCTTGCAGTTACATACCGGAATCCATGGCTCGGCCATTTCTAATGTCTAGGTAAGGGGTACCGGAGATACACTGTCCAGAACAAACAGTGGATAATAAAGCACCAACGCGGTGTCTTATGGTGTTTGGGGCTGCGTGAGATGCAATTTGTGGCCGCTTTGGCTCACCGCCCTAACATTTCTCGAAGGCGAGGTAAGGGGTGCATCTCTATGGTCATTTGCTCTAACGACTAAATTACGCTCACTATCCTGATTATCCGTAGGGAGCCAACCTGGCCATGAGTTCTCCAATGTCGGTCACATCGTGCGAGCAACTGAGCAAAGTGGAGCGTTTGGTCTTCTTGATCTCCAAATATGCCACCCTCTATGTTGAGGGCAGCCATAAAATAGGTAATCAGGAGGAGCAGAAGGCCCTGGGCAGCCAAATCCAAGAACATGCAGACCAAGTCGCCAACCTGTGTGGCGAGCTCGCCCGTCTCATCCAGAAGCCCGGTCAGTCAGTCCAAACCACGGAGGACGGGATCCTAGAGACGGCCATGGCATATACCAAATCTACGGCACTTGCGATTGCCCTGGATATGGATTTCTTCGAACATGTCAAGCCTGGTGGAACGTCGACCACCGTGGACGAGTTAGCCCAAGTGACCGGTGCGTCTGAGAAGTTGATCAGTAAGTGGTATACCAAGAGGACCCTAGGCAGTAAGGATCAACTCACAAGTTGTCGTAATTGCAGAGAATGTTATGCGAATCTGTGCCGATAGCTCCATCTTCAAGGAAGTTACCACGGGGGCTTTTGGACACACCGAGAGGTCGCTATTGTTGCGTGAGCGGGACAGCTATGTTCGAGCATATTCAGGTTATCTGTATGGCATCCTACCTACTTTGCAATGTCCAATCCAACTGAGACCAATAGGGTGGACGACGCCCACATGGCGGGCGCCTTTCTCCCTGGCGTGCTTCGGGAACATGGCTTTCAGCCTCCACCAGACCGGAAACAATCGGCGTTTTGCAAGGCATTCAATGGTATGTGCCACCGCGTTGGGTGAGGCCCAAACCCCAGACCTGAGACGGAAGAGACCGAGAGACGGACTGACATCCATGGACCAGTGTCGGACCCTTACGACTACTACCATTCGACTGATTTAGTGCGGGGGGCTCGATTCGACCGAGCAATGCAGGGCAACCATGCAATTCAGCACCACCCCATAGATCTGGTGATCTCGTTCGACAAGTTGCCGTTTGGGGCCGTGGTGGTTGATGTCGGCGCCGGCCGTGGCCACAACGCGCTGCGACTGGCGACAAAATTCCCCCATCTCACGGTTGTTGTGCAGGACCATGAGAACGTCATTTTCCCGGAAGAGGATCAACTCGATATCCCTCCACCAGTAGAAGGAAGAATCCAATTTCTCCCCCACGACTACTTCGACGAGCAACCTATCAAGGATGCGGACGTGTATATCCTGAGCAATATCCTCATGGATAATCCAGACAGGTTTGCATTCGAACCAGCTGTGACTGAACATCGCTAACCCCTAGATCAGTGATTGTAAGCGGATCTTGTCGCGCATCGCCACGGCGATGACACCGAACAAATCGAAGCTGGTCATCTGCGACAAACTCGATAGCGAAGCCAGACCGGTACATCATCAGATGTCGGAGTTGCATATTTTTTCCTGCTTCAACTCGTGGTCGCGGAGTATTGACGAGTGGAGGAGACTAATAACAGAATCAGCCGACGGGCTTGCGGTCGATCGATTCTGGGAGATCGGGTCGGGTGTGGTGCTTGAAATTGGACTCATGGGGCGACTGTAAACAGGAAGTAGAGAGTTGTAAGGACTTGGAACGTCTGATTTGATCTACTTCATAGGAATTGAGCCAGTGACACAATGGATAGGACGTCTTGTTAGAGTATATCCTGGACGTAACAATCAGGCACTATGGTAGACTTATCAGAACTAGATACTAGATGTTCGATTCTACGTCCCTCGACGAAAGCTAGCATGCAATCTAAACGTGCAGTCTCTTGACAGAGGGACTCACTTCTCCCTTAGGGGTACGCGTTCTTGGTTAGAAAAGTATCACCATCGGCTGTCGTGCTTCGGGTGTAACTTTCGACAAGTTCGCAAGACCTTTGGGTAGCTTGGCTTGATTATCTCAAATTGCAGTTGCAGCAGGCGCCAAACAAGGCCACTACTCACTTGTATTGTTCAAATTCACCTCCAGCAGATATCAGGGATGCGCTCCAACATCATCCCTGGACCAAAGAGTTGCGGTCAGAATGCAACAGACTGGACAAGATTACCCCATCATTCAACTCTGATCCAATAATCTTGGTTCTTTGCGGACCACCCGCTCCTGTGACATAGAAGCAAGGAGGCTGGTCTGCAATTGACGATGCCCAAAGTGAAAGACATGCCTGTTGTACATACCAACCGTTGGTCTAAGCTTACTC